TTTACACTCAAATCTCATCCGCATGCTGTCTCTATGAAGAACTCGTTGTAAAACATGGAATAAAATGAGTTACAAAATATACAAATGCGAATTCTGTATTTCAATTACAAAGGGGGGGGGGGGGGGGTAACAACATTGTTGACAATTTTTGCATTTTTGTACTTTTTTTTTTTTATTTTTGCATTTTTTTTAACCCTTTTTTTTTTTTTTTTTTTACAGGTTTTGTAAATAAAATATACATATATACAAGTAAACATTATTTATTAATTTATTTACATGGGTCCAACATGACCATGTCTGACTAAACCAATGGGGTCATTATTTTTGCAATTCCGTGCACAGATATTACACACTTGCAACATCCCTCACAAATGCATAAATTAATGCATGAATGAATAAATAAATGCATAAATGCAAATAGTAAAGCAGCTCGCTGACCATGCAATCATGCATAGTTACCATAATAAAGCAAAGCCAATTAAGCAAAACCTGTAAATAATAATAAATAAATCAAACAAACACAGCAATAATTCAGTATTTTAAAAGCGCATTAGCGTTTCCACTTATTTCACTCTATATTTAACTCTGAGTAGCTTACTTAGAGATGACTCTGCATTAAACTGGGATAGACATCAAAACAATTACACACTTCACCTTTAAGTTCAAAGTCAAGCACGAGATATATTTATATTTTAAAATAACTTTAGTCTTTTTTTCCCTCGCTGTGAACAGACAGTTTCCGCTGGTTTGAAGTTGGTTGTACGTTATAACTCGATCGTTTTTATTTTTTGAGCTGGATTTGAGATTTTCATAAGAGCTGTAGGCCCTCGTCTTTTATCCACGTGAGGTGAAATCCTCCTCAGATTTACCGCTGGCTGCTGGAATAAGAGCGTCATGCTGTTTGAGTCTTAATGCTCCCTGAAGACTTCCATGAATCCAGCACACCAGCAATTACACTTACTATAGAGAAGACGGCACACAGATCGAATGGGACGCTGCTGCCAAAGCCATTGAAATTGTGTTTGTTGTGTTCCCAAACAGGCCAAGATGCCTTTTGATGCCAATAAGCTGTACTGCAGTGAAATACTGGCTATCCTGCTACAAAACAATGACAGTAAGTAAAAATAAGAGACGGATTGCTTTGATTGGCTGTGTGCATGGGTTTATTAAAGACTCCAGACTCTATACATTCATGCTAGTGAATAATTACAAGCCCTGTGTTGAAAATATGGTGTAACAAAACCTTTTTAAAGGAATTGTTACCCAAAAAGGAAAGTTTGCTGAATTTTTACTCGCCCTCAGGTCTTCCAAGATGTAGATGAGTTTGTTTCTTCATCAGATTTGGAGAATTGTAGCATTACGTGACTTGCTCGTCAATGGATCCTCTGCAGTGAATGGGTGTCACACCTGGTTTAGATAGCATTTTCTTTTCATCTTGTCTTCGTAAAATGCTTAAAGTAATGTTTGATCTCAGCAGTTGTGTTTACAGCGGCAACCTAATGAAACGCTGTATCGCTGCTGTTACAAAAGCGCCACCTGCTGTCAGAGAGTGAACTTGCGTTTCATTCAGCCCGTCTGCTGTTTCGGTTTCGTGCAGATATGTTTTATGTTGTATAGTTTCACAAAGCTTAAGAAAATTTGCTTCGCTGTTTTCAGAGAGCTCGAGGCGATCAGCGGGCGCTCAGTGCTCATGAATCCTGCTGAGAGCAGCCTCACCTCGGCTAGTCCTGACATGTGCCGCTGGCTCTGATGTCTCTGTAGTGGTTAAACATGAGATATAATTTGTTTTTAGGTATATCTAACAGGCAATCTTTGGTCTCATGAATCTATTATTTGTTCCTGGTCATGTCATTTTGCCTCAGCGCAAAGTTTAGTTTCATAACTTTATATATTTATTCAGCTTTACCGTAGTACAGCACTGACTTTGAAGCATATGTTTGCTTTTGTCTTTGTTTCCTGTTATACTTTATACTTACACTTTTATAATGCAATGGCTATTATTATTCATTAAAACTGACATTTAACAAAAAGAGGCAGTGTTGTGCTTTAGGTCATATTTCATTTTATTATACATACAGTGAAGATAATCAGAATATTTTGCACATATTGCCTGAAGCACATCTTGTTTTATATTTTTAAAATGAAAAGAGGGTTGTGTTTTGTTTTGTTAAGTATACATACAGTAAAGGTAATCAAAGTATGTGTTGCCTGATCTACATTTTTGTGGCTATTAATATGTTTAAATGAAAACAAAACGAGGTTCTGTCTGTCTGTCTATCGTTCTGTCTGTCTGTCTATCGTTCTGTCTGTCTGTCTGTCTATCGTTCTGTCTATCTGTCTGTCTGTCTATCATTCTGTCTGTCTGTCATTCTATCGTTCTGTCTGTCTGTCGTTCTATCGTTCTCTGTCTGTCGTTCTATCGTTCTGTCTGTCTGTCGTTCTATCGTTCTGTCTGTCTGTCGCTGTCTGTCTGTCTGTCTATCGTTCTGTCTGTCGTTCTATCTGTCTGTCTGTCTGTCTATCGTTCTGTATGTCGTTCTGTCTGTCGTTCTGTCTGTCGTTCTATCTGTCTGTCTGTCTGTCTGTCGTTCTGTCTGTCGTTCTATCTGTCTCTGTCGTTCTAGCTGTCTCTCTGTCTGTCGTTCTATCTGTCTGTCTGTCTGTCTTTCTATCGTTCTGTCTATCGTTCTATCTGTCTCTGTCGTTCTAGCTGTCTCTCTGTCTGTCTGTCTGTCTGTCTGTCTTTCTATCTATCGTTCTATCTATCTATTGTTCTATCGTTCTATCTATCGTTCTATCTATCTATTGTTCTATCGTTCTATCTATCGTTCTATCTATCTATTGTTCTATCGTTCTATCTATCGTTCTATCTATCTATTGTTCTATCGTTCTATCTATCGTTCTATTGTTCTATCGTTCTATTGTTCTATCGTTCTATCTATCGTTCTATTGTTCTATCTATCTATTGTTCTATTGTTCTATCGTTCTATCTATCTATTGTTCTATCTATCTACCTACCTTAATTTCCTTCCTTCCCTCCCTCAATTAACAATTACATTTTTCCTTTTTCTTTTTTGTTATTCATTAAAGTTTTTAATTGTATTCATTAACATTTTTATGAGGTTACTGATAATACTTGATTTTGATGACAAGCACAATGTGCTCATAAAATCTTCATAGAAGGCTTTATTATTTGTTTATTAAAATTTTTGGCATTTTAAAATTGTCCTATTAATGTTCTCCTTGCAGGTGTTTAAGCGTCATAATCCAACCACGGCGGAGGAACAGGAAATGATGGAGAATCTGTTTGATGCCCTCTGTTCCTGTCTCATGCTTCCAGCCAATCGTGATCGTTTCCTCAGGGGGGAGGGGCTTCAGCTCATGAACCTCATGCTCAGGTCTGTCTCTGATTGACAGCTACAGTTTATGTTCCCTAAGGCTACGTTTACACGACAACGATGTAATCAAAAACTGAAAAGTTTGAAAAAATGTTCACGTATGCACGACGTATTCAAAACGATTCGCCTTTACACACATCCGTGAAAACGGATAAAAACGCTGTATTACGTATGCCAGGCCAATAGTTGGCACTGTCACCTTGTTAGTAAAGTGTACCTGTTGCCGTCTGTATATAATGCGTCTCTGCTGTTGGTTGTAATATTGGTGAAGTAAATCCACACTTTGCTGAAGAAGCGTTAGCAAACTCTTGAGCAGCAACAACAGTACCATGTACTCCGCCATTGTTGTTTATGTTTGTTCTCGCTTGCCTTTAAAATCGACACGTACTACGCATGTCTACATACCTAACACGTACTATGCAAACGTTTTACGTCAGGCGTAATAGGCGTACTATGCACGCCTATTACGTCAGCGTTTTCAAAGATTCCCGTTTTGGGTGTTCACACGGAAACGACAATGGTGGCGTTTTCAAAAACTTGCACTTTAAAATCCGTTTTCAAAAATATGCGTTTTCAGTCCCCAAAACGCCATTGTCGTGTAAACGAACAGTCAAAACGCATAAAAAGTTTCTCGCTTTTGGCTGAAAATTTTGTTGTGTAAACGGCCCCTTAGTTATTGATTTTCACTATTAAGTACTACTTAAAAATTTTTATTTTGTTTATATATACTGTATATAGAGTGAGGCAATTTACAATTTTATTTTGTTTATTATATATATTTTTTTTGCCCCTCCTTTCTCTCTCTCCACCACTGCGTTTTCTCTGCGTCTCTTCTGTGACATGTGAAATATTTTCCCGCGGCATAGATAAACTGTTATTTGTCATTGGCGGATGAAGGAAGTGCCAGTATGACAGACAGCTACATTTCCCTTGAGCGAGGCCATGATATTCAGCTTCCATCTGTACAGTCCTCTCCCGTGCAGCCGTTTCAGACTCAAACATGCTGTTTAGATCAGTTTTTTGTCCCACTTTATATTAAGTGGCCTTAACTACTATGTTCTTACATTTAAATTAATCATTTGGTACAATGCACTTATTTTGTACATATACCTTTTTACTTTGTACTTATATTTGAAAGATATTTGCATGTAATTAATTTATAATTACACTGTTGACCCATCCCCTACGCCTACCCATACCACCAAACCTGTCCCTAACCTTACCCGTATCCCACCTCAATGGCAGCAGAAGTGTTTTGCAATACAATATGAACACAATAAGTACATTGTACTTATTTATTGATGCAAGTACATAGTAGCTAAGGCCACTTAAAGGGGTCCTATTATGCTTTTTCACTTTTTTAATTTTAGTCCGTGTGTAGTGTGTATGTTTGGGCATAAAAAAGATCTAGAAAGTTACAAATCTCAAAGTCCACTCCAAAGGGAGATATTTCGTTTTTTAAAAATCCCTTTTCAAGAACTACAGCAAACGGCTTGTTTGGACTACAGCGTTTGGTTTCCGGGCTTTGTGATATCACAAAGCGGCTCATTGGAATATCATTACAAATAATTCCCGCCTGCAGAAATGTGAATGGTTGGGGGGGTGGGGAGGGCGAGGTTGTGGTTAGAACGCTTGGTTGAGTGAGCGCATCAGACGAGACGATGAAGTGCTGCTGCAGAGTTAGTGCGTCAGAGAAAACCAAGAAGAAGAGCTGCTGTGCTGTAGCCTCAAATTTTTGGCATGTCTAGAGCACCGGTTCTCCATTCCAGTCCTCGCGTACCCCCGCTCTGCACATTTTGTATATTTCTCTTATTGCTTCATATGTTTGTTATATTTGACTGTAAGTGCCCTGCAAAGTGGACTTTACCGGATATTCCTCCATGATTCCAGTTTGAAGGGACCGTATATGTTCCATACAAAGGGCATTAAAGTGTGCGAGACGTGAATTTAAATTATTTATTTACAGAGGTATATTATGTCCCACTTCACACTTCTCTAGTAAGTTTAGTTTGTGTGTGAATCTGCGCAAATCTGTAAATGAATATTCCGAAGTGAAGTAAACTTCAATGGATTTCCCCAGCCTGGGGAGAGAGGTGTTGTAATAATGTAAATTATGTGAAAAATAATGCATTTTTCGAACCACCAAGCATGAGAGCATGTTCTAGTACACCCCCAAAACAAAATCAAGACTTTGTAAAAGAGCATAATAGGACCCCTTTAATATAAAGTGGGATCCAGTTTTTTGTTTTATATACACCTGGAGACTTTAGAACAACCCATGAATGTGTAAAATGAAAGTGGACTGTTGAGAAAAAGAGACAAAGGCTTTGTGAATGAACATCAGTTTTCTTTTTCTAAAACATGTATAGAAATTAATTCTGCTTATGTTTCTTGAAGTCCAAGGTCTTTCGCTTTTAATCAAGGCAGGTTTATTTATATAACACATTTCATGCATAGTGGTAATTCAAAGTACTTTGCAGAGAAATCATTTTTAAAAAGAAAATTCATAAGAAATACAGAAAAAAATGTGATTTTGAATTTTGAATGGTTAATTAAAAAACAGTTGTTAGGTTTAGACTATTTGTTTATTAGTAAAATTAGCAATCATAGTTTTATTATATAAATTAAATTTACTCCATTATATTTTTAGTAAATGTATGCAAAATAATTTGTATTATTTTATGTAATATTATATTATTATATATTGTACTCTATATTTTATGTGCCATATATTATTGTATAATGAAATTCTGTTAATTTATTTTAATAGTTTATTTGCAGATGTATGGAATATAATATAATTGTTATTTTATTAGTGTATTTGCTAATGTTGCAATATAAATGTTATATTATTTTGTTATATGTAATAATAAAATATTACTTTATATCTATTTTGAGACATGACATTTTTGTACTTAAAGTGCATTAATGTAAATTTTAAAAAACATTTATCTTGTAAAAATATTATAATTTTTATTATTATATACAGTATTGATATGTGGCCCACCACAATATCAACACTAACCGCCACAAATATTTTCCAAAAGGCTTTGACTTCATTGAATAAATATGAGCACTGCACGCTTCAAAATCAAAACGGGGCAAGGGTGTTTTTATATGAATGTATAATTTTTTGAAGGGAACCGATTGTCTTCAGAAAAGTTTTGATGTCATTTTCTTTTCATCTTCCTGATAAAGTAGCGTTCATGAGCACAGAGCTGCTTTGATTACAGCTGTTACCGGGAAACCACTTTCTGCTGCTCTTAAAGCGCCTCCTGCTGGCAGAGAGTGAATTTGCACTTTCAATAAGCCCGTCTTCTGTTTTACATTTACATTACATATATATTTTCCCCAGGGAACTGCCGCCACACATAGAGTGCAAGTCTGTGGGAAACACTGCAACGATATATTTATCATTATATGTCTGTTCAGGGAGAAGAAGATGTCTCGAGTCAGCGCTCTGAAGGTCCTGGATTACGGGATGATCGGTCCAGAGGGTTCGGATAACTGTCACAAGTTTGTGGACATCCTGGGCCTGCGGACCATATTCCCTCTGTTCATGAAGACGCCCAAGAAGATGAAGAAAGTGGGGATATCGGACAAGGAGCATGAAGGTTTGTTGTGTTCAGACGCACTATTTTCACCTGCTGCAGCTTTTTCCCTATTTCTCTGTTGTAGCTCTGTTTTGTTTGCAGTGCAGAATTATTTCTCACTAGATTTTTGTTCTTTTTAAAATGGATTTAGTTTGGCGGAGTTGCTCAATTAGCAGTGAACACACACACAGGCGTTTGTAATATGACGGCGAGTTCACAGTAATATCTTTTTCTGGGCTATTATTTACAGTTCAGCCGGCGGTTTATTCCGTGGAGAGTAAAACTCTGCGGCAGCTGCTCTTATTGTTTTGCCACAGCGCTACAAATAAGCTCCTCACACTATTCTTAATGTTATTAGAGACCTGCAATGAGACATCCAGAGAGAGGATCTCACTTCTGCTGTCATTTCATGCGCTTGCACACTAGAGTTTGACAGATATAAATGTGTTAGATACATTTAGACGGTGTTGAAAGAGGCCTGTCTGAAATCAAGCTGAAATGGACCTTATTTAGGATCGATGGCATATTTCATTTGAATGCAAACAATGCATTTTTTCTTTTTTGAAAGTATGTAGAGTTTTGTCAGCTGATATTGCAATATTAGGACTTACTGGCACATTATAAAATTGCATCTTAACTCCCCAGATCTCTTTGCGTTTACATTTATGCATTCAGCAGATGCTTTTATCCAAAGCGACTTGCAAAAGAGGAGGATTAAACACTAATTGGTAAAATGAGTCAAGCACTTCACTTTTATTGCTTATATAATATTAATAAGGCCATAAGTATATTGTTTTAAGTATGTAATTAAATAGTTTTTTATAAATTATATATTAATTTTAATTTATTAGTTTATTTGCAAATGCAATGCTTAATTGTCATTCGAAACGGTAATTTTTTTTGTAAATAAATATGATAAAAAATATAAAGTATGATCTAAAAACTATCATTGCAAAAATATCATTGCATCTCTCTCTTTTTAAAATTATTAGCTAAATTTATAAAAAAATTTTTTTAAATATTGCATGTTGTTTTGTGATGAAAATTAACCATATTTTTTAGGACCAGGCACACTAGAGTTTGACAGATATAAATGTGTTAGATACATTTAGACGGTGTTGAAAGAGGCCTGTCTGAAATCAAGCTGAAATGGACCTTATTTAGGATCGATGGCATATTTCATTTAAATGCAAACAATGCATTTTTTCTTTTTTGAAAGTATGTAGAGTTTTGTCAGCTGATATTGCAATATTAGGACTTACTGGCACATTATAAAATTGCATCTTAACTCCCCAGATCTCTTTGCGTTTACATTTATGCATTCAGCAGATGCTTTTATCCAAAGCGACGTGCAAAAGAGGAGGATTAAACACTAATTGGTAAAATGAGTCAAGCACTTCACTTTTATTGCTTATATAATATTAATTAGGCCATAAGTATATTGTTTTAAGTATGTAATTAAATAGTTTTTTATAAATTATATATTAATTTTAATTTATTAGTTTATTTGCAAATGCAATGCTTAATTGTCATTCAAAACGGTAATTTTTTTTGTAAATAAATATGATAAAAAATATAAAGTATGATCTAAAAACTATCATTGCAAAAATATCATTGCATCTCTCTCTTTTTAAAATTATTAGCTAAATTTATAAAAAAAAATGTTTTTAAATATTGCATGTTGTTTTGTGATGAAAATTAACCATATTTTTAGGACCAGTTAACTGTTTTTGCATGACAATTAAGCACATTTCCCATAAATAGATAAATAAACACTACTGTTCAAATGTTTGGGAACAGTAAGATTTTTTAATGTGTTTGAAAGAAGTATCTTCTGCTCATCAAGGCTGCGTTTATTTGATCAAAAATACATTAAAATCAGTAATACTGTGAAATATGATTACAATTTAAAATAACTATTTCTATTTTAATATACTTTAAAATAGAATTGATTCCTGTTTGCTGCAATATAACAAAGAGTGAAAAATTTAAGGGGGTCTGAATACTTTCCGTACCCACTGTATATAGATCTAAAAACTCATCAAATTTAATTATTAAATCTGCAGATGTGTAAAAATATGTTTGCATGTCCCGGTTTAGCAAATTTGTCCTCAAAAGTGACCGTTTATCCTTGAAAATAAAAACACTTGTGCACATGTTTTATTTTTGGAAATTGGTTTGTTTGTCGTCTTGGGAAACGCGTGGTATTATGACGTTGTCATGCAAAATATGGGTGGTGTGAGATTAGCATCTTAATTCTTGACAACAAAAGGTGTTTATGAAGATGCAGCGGTTAATTAATTACCAGCTTTGACGACTGAGAGTTAGAGTAATTAAACGGCTAAGCTCTTACGGCCGATCGAGGAAGTTCAGACTGATCCCCATAAAACCCCCTCTGAAATGTACTCGACTCCACCACGCGCTCGCATTAGCATTCGTAATTAGCCGATTAGAAAGTGTGCTTTCCGTTTGCTAACAGACCAGAAAGATTTAGCAAGGAGAAATAGTCTTCTGCCGCATTGCATTGTGTGCAAGTCTTTTATTGACGGATAATAGTGTAAAAGAACTGGGAAGAACAACATAAAAAGTACAAACTTAAGCGAAACTTCTGCAGTGCTAATCACCAAACAAATGAACGGCGTCCTCCTTTCGTACAGGGAACTGAAATGACCGTCGACAGGTAAACAATCCTGACAGGCACAAAGAGAAGAGACCAGGCTAATCTTCAGCTCGAGCACAGGCACGTGACAAGAGCTTCGGCCGCTTTCACTTAACAAGAGCCGCTTCGGCAGAATAATTGCATGTTGTTGAGCTGGAGAGCGGAAGAATTGAGAAATGATCTGGATGTGTTTTAGCTAATGATGTGTTAGCGCCAGCGGGAGTGAAATAAGTTTTCTCGCAGTCGTGACACGCTGAACGTCCGTCTCACGGTCGCCGTGATCTTTGAACTCATCAGCCAATTTAAACGGTCGATTTCTTCTCTGTGTATGTGTGTGTGTGTGTCGCTGAGACTCAGGGAAGCACTCTGAAGTTTTTCAGTTTGGGGTTTGGTCCTGCCGCAGGGATGAGGGTCACAGCAGCGTTGCTCCGGGTTCTGTGTGACGCTTTGGGACGGTGAAGATGAATATCCTCAGGATACGACAAAATAAAGTTGAGACTCTCCAACAGGGCCAAATAATCCTGGATCATTTTGACCAATTTTATTTTTAGGGCCCAAGCCACTAAGGCGCAGATACCCTCTTCTTTTTTTATTGTCTATAGTTTGTCATTAATGTATTTCAGTTTTAGTTATTTTAGTAAATGAAGTTAAATTAAATTATTACACTTTTTATAGGTTTTATATATTTTATTTTTTTCTCAGATAATGTTTATTTTATTTCAAGCTATTTTATTTATTATTATTTTTTTATTTAACTATAATAACCCTGATTCTGACTCCTGCATCTAAAAACCGGTCAAGTGGCTGTCGTTCTGTTTGTGATTCCTTTTAGACTAAATTACTCGAGTGGTTTGTCCACATGTCTCTCGTTACAGAGAATAATCATTCTTTAGAGAGATGTAAGACAACGTTTGAGACAAACCCATTTGCTTCGACGTCTCAACAGTGACTCAAAATTGGCCAAATCTGAACCGAACTGATGGCGTAGGGGAGCAGCGGCACTTCATTTATTTCTATTGATTGTCTTTTAACTGCTTTTTAATCTCTACCGGACACGTAATAATTGCGGGAAGTGCTTGAATCGCTGTGCTGAATTGGATCAAAAGCGTCGGTGTAATTGCGCTGATCTCCAGAGCTCTGGTAATTCTCCCGTTTGAAATGAAACTTGGAATCGGATCATTGTTACGCCGTCCTCAAAGGTTTCGCTAATGGATTCATTATTGAAAATTAGCAGTTCTTTTGCTGCAGATTCGTACCGTGATAATGTGATAATCCGCTTTGTTTCCAGGGATTTTCTTGAACTGTAACAAAACACCTTTGTCTTGTCTCTCTATGCTGAAGATGCTTTAGAGGAGAAACATGCATATAATGTAATCACATATAAGAGTTTTGGATCATGTATCTCTTCATGTGGTATTTCTCAAAGCATGCAAATGTAAATACGTGAGGAATATTTTCTACTGGGTTTTTGAGAGCAGTTTTGAAATCTCAGGCAAGCTCTTAAATGCATTGTTCGCCCAAAAACTCAAAAAACCCTCATGTTTCTGACTTTTTTTTTTTCTGTGAGCGAGTATTGAGTTTGTCAAGCTCTAAACAATTTTAAAGCACAGTAAAAGCAGTTCTATTTTGCAGTACTTGTCATGTCTGCTGGAGGCATATGATAGCTTTGTATGAAGAAATTTACAAATCAAAAATGATGGCATTGATATTTTTTCGACAATGTATTAATTCTTTATTAGTGTCTAATGTATTTTGATAAATAATAATTTTAAATTAATATTTTCTTTATTAAATATAATTCATAAATCAATTTGTCAGTTTTTTAAAAAGTCAATAATTTATTTATTAATCATATATACATTGAAAATATACATGCAATTAATAAAACAATTATATATATTTTTCCAATTATAGTTCCAAATATATACAGTATATACTTTATTTTAATTATAAATAACTTATTTTTATTAATTAATTTTGTTTAATTATTTGCATATGTTTGATGTATTTGTATTAATTATAATTTATACATTATGATATATATAATTTATAAATTAATTTAATTAGTTTATTTATTAATCATATATAATATAAAATATTTATTTTTCAATTATTGTTTCTAGATTTTTGAAATTAGTGCTATTTTATGTATAATTAGTTTTTTAAATAATTGTATTAAATTAGTTTTTATTATTTGCATATGCGTATAATGCATTTTTATTAATTATAATTTAGAAATTAATAGTCTTAAATTTTCTTTTTTTCATTTAAATTTAATTATATATAATTTTTGAAATGGGTTCTCATTAAAAATGCCTTATTACAAATGATAGAAAATCACTTTACAGTCTATTTATTTTTAATTGTGAAAACGTTATTGACTCTCAAATTACACATCACATTATATTACTGAAGCTAAAATGGTCAAATTAAACTTTTCCCCATTCTTTGTATTTTCATTTAGCCTTCGGTTAGCAGGCTAACGGCATTTCGTGTTCGTCCCACATAAAGTACCGCCCCCTACTGGACATCCCACCGCGTTCACGACTCGCCAGCCAATGGCCTTTCTCCCTGTTGCCACGGCAACCCGGAGTGATGTAGTTGGGTAGCCGAGTCCTGTTTCATGTGTGTAATGATGACAAAAGCTTTCCCGCGGCAGAGCTTCTGAGATAACGCACTTATCTCAGACCTCTAGCCTGCACCTCTCTCCTCTCATCCGCTCCCTGTGGCTGTATCCCTCACCCCAGACACTTTATTCTGCCGCTAATAACGTTCACTTTTTCCTCCCTCGCTCCTGGTGGCCACGCTCCCCAGAGTCTCCTTGAAGACCCACGACATCGCAGTGCTGACCGAGCGCTTCCTCTCTCGCGTCTGTTGATTAATGTGTCGCCTCCATTTACCCGCGGCATTAGAATGCGTAATGTGTTGGTTAAGAGATGCATGCAGACTGATGTTTAAACTCATTTGTATTCCGCGGCGGCCAAGGCCAAATTAAATGGTTTTATCAAGGCCGCCTGATTATGGGTTTTGAGTGCTTGTGCGAGATAGCTTTTAAATATTGATTTTTAACCTGATGAAGAATAACTCTAATGGACGTAATGTTTTAGAAGACGTCAAATGTTGTTTGGTACAGTATAACCATCATCAAACATTCATCCAGTGGTGTGTCGCTACAATAAGTGAAGATCAAACAATATAGAAGTGCATTAGCGTTAAACGAATAGTTCCGCCAAAAATAACATTTTGTTGAAAATTGACTCACCCTCAGGCCATCCAAGATTAGGATGAGTTTGTTTCTTCATCAGATTTGGAGAAATGTAGCATTGCATCAGTGTCTCAGCAATGGATGCTCTGCAGTGAATGGGTGCCGTCAGAATGAGAGTCCAAACAGCTGATAAAAACATCACAAGTAATCCACACCACTCCAGTTCATCAGTTAACATCTTGTGAAGCCAAAAGCTGCGTGTTTGTAAGAAACAAACCCATCATTAAGACGTTTTTAACTTCAAACCGCTGCTTCTGACTAAAATATGAGAGCATAATCCATAATATTGCTTTTTCCAGTGAAAACATTGTCTGGTCTGAATCAGGAGAGAAATCTGCACAGATCAAGCACTGTTTACAAGCCAAAACAGCTCTAAACAAATATGTGGCTGGATTTTGATGTGAGAGACAACAGGAGATGCACTTTTTCACTGGAGGAAGCGTTATTATGGATTATGGACTCATATTTTGTCCAGAAGCAAAGTTTTAACATTAAAACATCTTGCCAAAAGATTTGTTTCTTACAAACACGCAGCTTTTGTCTTCTCAAGACATTAACTGATGGACTGGAGTGGTGTGGATTATTGTGATGTTTTTATCAGCTGTTTGGACTCTCATTCTGACGGCACCCATTCACTGCAGAGCATCCATTGCTGAGACACTGATGCAATGCTACATTTCTCCAAATCTGATGAAGAAACAAACTCACCTACATCTTGGATGACCTGAGGGTTAGAACATTTGGAATAAATTTTCATTTTTGGGAAAAGTAAGAAGTTGGTTTGTTCTTTTACAGTCCCTGTATGATTGACTCATTCTTACTGTACATTCCCGCTTGAAGGGAAAGAAGCCGTCAGATCAGATTTGTGGTTGCGTCTAAAGTCTTGTTTGGCTCAGCTCTAATGCTTCTTCATTAGTGTGTTTTTATAGGCGACAGCAGCGTGTGAAGACCTTCATACACTTCACTCAACGTTCATTAAAGCTTTTAGTGCAGCATCGTATTTTCCATTTGCAGCCGTTATCTAAGACAGTCACAGACTCACTCGCCAGTTCTTCTGCAATTTCTCCTTTTATGTCTTTAAGTAAATTATAACTTTTGGCTCTGTGTGGATGCTTTCTATAAAACTTTTTTTTTTAAAGCAGTAGATGAAAATTGTTCAAAAGTGCCAGTAAAGACATGTATAATGTTATGATTTCTTTTGTCTTTTTGAACTTTCTATGCATTAAAAATCCTGAAAATTAAAATGCATCATGGTTAAATTCGGGTCCTAAAGCGCATCTCTGGTGTGTTTCAGTGGTGTTTGGGTGCATTTGTAACGTGCTCACCCTCGTTTGCTCTCTTCTGCAGGTCGACAGACTCATGGAGCTGCATTTTAAGTACCTGGAAGCCGTTCAGCTCGCAGACAAGAGGATCGAAGGGGAGAAGCACGTAAGATTCACGCACACACACACACATTCACGCTTGATTGGCAGTATCTCCTCAGCAAGGGCAGATCTGTGTGTGAAGATAAGAGCAGACCTACCAGACTCAAACGGTCTGACACTCGACATGCTTCCCGCTCGCTCCACTCGCCTTTAAAGCTGAACGCTGTTAGACTTTTACTCTGAGCGCTGATTCGCACACACTTTCTCATCAGCCCTTACAGGACCTGGAGTCTGTGTGGTCACAACCAAACAAAACCTCACTGTTGGGTTAGTCATTATTAACATTGTGAATGCCAACATTTGCGGAATTTCAAATATAATAATATTGCATATAATTTAAAAATAATCTATTATTATTATTATATAATAATAATACATTAGTATTGTTGTTGTTATTGCATATTAATTTAAAAAATCTATTATTATCATTGATAGTATTTCATATAATTTTAAAATATGTTGTTATTATTATTATTGCTGTTATTGTTATTATTAAAAAGATTAATATTAGTAATATTTATTTGAAGTTTTGCGACTGGGTTTATTAATGGAGAATGTAATTGGCGTGCACTCACCGGTGTGTTAAAATACTTTTTACAGCCGCTCTTAGCTTGTCTCATCCAATCAGGTTTTAGAGCCGTAACTCTGATTATGTAAGTTGTGGGGTCTCAGCCAGCGTTAATTAATGTGGAGATGATTAAAGGCAGATGCTAATTGATGATAATTGTCAGATTGAGCAGTTATTCCACATTGTGTAACTGTATTTCATTAGCCAACATCGCTGAGTGTGTGTTGTGTTTGTAGGGTAGACTGTGCTTCGTGTGTGTGTGTGTGCATGTGTGTGATTATACTGTGTTTGTGTGTGTGCGTCAGGGGATATTGGCGTGTGTATGTTGAGGATGTGATCTGGGTACTGATGTGGGCTAGGGCTGTGTTCCGTGCGGAAACGATCGCAGCATGACTGCTGCAGACGCACCGCTCCTAGAGCGCACCACAATCGCGTGCAGTGTGAACGCTCTGATCCGTTAACATGGGCGTGGAAAAAATACGCACCACATACGGAGTGTGTGAACCTGGCGTTACGTTTGCCCGCCCGGTCTGTTCTGTTCTCGTGCACCATTTAGGTGCGCTGCATTCTGATTGGTTCGGATAGCATACTGCGGGAGGTCGGGGGCGCGGAAAATCGTGCTATAAAGCGAATTAGAAATCGCGCAAGCTCAAATCGCGATTTTATGAAGATTTCGATTAATCGCACAGCCCTAATGTTGACTCCTGCGGCTCATGTCTCATCCATTCTAGTGTGTGTGTGTTCAAGATGGGTTTCAGGGATGTTTCAGCTTGGGCTGGGTGAATAATATCATCTAGTTTTAAGCCTTCTAAACATATTGGCAGAGGTGTAAAGTATTGGAGTAAATGTAATTAGTTACTGTACTTGAGTATCTTTTCGGGTACTTTGTAGTCGTACTGAGTATCAAAGATATTAGCAACTTTTACTCTTTACTCCACTACATTTGAATTGAGTGTTGCAGTTACACATTACATTTTGCATGGACCTAGCTTTTTCTGCAGCAGTTTATTTCTGCTACAAAAGACGTGATACTGCCTATTACAGGTCACTGAAAGTACTGCATCTTGTGCGTTTTGCCCTTACTCACCCAAACTTGTCAACAAGGCTACTTTATGTGAATGCGAGTTCCTTAGCAAGTATTTGTGAATCAGAGGTGTTTTATATATGAGATGAGGACATGACTGCAGCCGGCAATGAGGCCCAAACCAGCACATCCAGTGCAAGAAGGCTTCGTCTTTTTTAATTTTACTTAACATTATTTTAGTTATCCATTATACTGAAGAGACCTTTTTGAAAGATATGGTTTGTTTGTTTTGTTATTATGAGGTGTTCAGTTTTATTTTGGTTTTAGAAAATAAACGTGATTGCTCTCCTCACAATCAACTCTTTCTTGTTTTTGTTTCATGCTCTCTGTGCCTTGCCCTGGACTTTTGTTACTTCTTGTCTCCCGTGGGGCTTGTAGTCAGTTTGTAGTCCGTTTGTTCATTGGTTCCCCTTGATTAGTCT